CACGCACACACACACACACACACACACGCGTGCACAGCCCGCCTGCACACCCCCACAGCCCTGCACACGCCTGTACAGTCCTCCTGCACACGCACACGCCTGCACGCAGCCCTGACACGCACGTACACGCAGCCCCTCGGCGCAGACCCTTTCATGCGTGCACAGCTTGCACACGCATACAACCTTTTCCCGGGCAGCCCCCTCCTTCCCACTCACCCCCCTGGCACGCACAGCCCCCCTACACACGCGTGACCCTGTACGCACACACGGTGCACCCCCCAGCACAGACACACTGGTGCCTCCTTGCTCACCCCTACCCCAAAAATACATCCCACACGCACACCGGCACACACCATCTGCAGTCACAGGACATTTCTCTCTCACACACACTGACATGCAGCTCGCACACTTTCCCCCTTAGTCAGGCACCCAGCAACCTCAGACACATGTGCCCCTGCACCTCTCCCCACTGCACGCTCAGCGTTTCACCCCAAAACACTGCCTACAGTCACCGCCAGGGATGGGTCTCCCAGAGGTGCCAGGGGTCTTACCTGGTCTTGCCCAGCATCGTCACTGCTGGGGGAAGTGTCACAGGCAGGCAGGGGACCCTGGGCACTGCCCCATCCCTGGGGTGGCCCCACAGGGCTCAAGGAGAAAAATATTGGTATCGTCATACCTACTGCAGCGCAGGGAGGGCAACTGCCTTGTTCTGGCCAAAATTTCCCACAAAATCAGCCCCTTGTGCATTTTTCTTCCCCTTTTCTTGGTACAAAAGGCCAGATGGATGTTTCTGAGGCATTTTCCAACATGTAGAAAGAAGCCTGCGTTTAGCTGGAAGACTTTAGGAGCACCACAGGAATGGGCAGGATGGGTACTGAAGGTGCTCAGCTGAAGCAAGAGAGGGTTTCCATGAGCAGCACATGCTCATGCACTCAACCTGTCAGTCCAGCACACACTCGGGCAAAAAACCCTTCACGTCGAGCTGTGCAAACAGCTGATGTGCCATGGCATGAGTGAGGCTGCTTCCCATATCCACCTCTCTGAGTTGCCTAAGGACAACCAGGCAAAACCAGAGCAGGCAGCATTAGATATTCCTGATGCTCTAAATATAGACAAGCCTCACTTTTTTTTTTATATATAAAAAAAATTAGAGGGTTTTAGTCACTGTCTCTTTCCCAGATGCTGCTCTGCTCCGCAGCAGCCACCCCTGCTTTACCTCCGCTGGGCGCAGAGTTGGGCCGTGTGTTATCCTGCACACCGCACATCGTGTTCAACAGCACCGTGTCCAGAACAGCCCAGGCTGCCTTAAACTGAGAGATTTATGGTGTCCCGTACGGGGTCAGAGGCAGCCGCGAGCTGACAGCCCCGCGTGCCCCCTGCCCTCGGCAAACAGGCTCAAGTGCCAGTCATGGCTGTAAAATCAAGCCGGTGCGGGATCACCCAGGGGTGGCCACACTTCGCCTGACAGCAGATGACAGACGATGCTCCTGCCAGCCATCCTCAGGCCCACAGCCGAGGCCTCCACAGCCCCTCTCCTACCCCACCTTTGGGCAGGGGAGAGACACGAGCGGGTTGGTGACAGCAGCTGGGGACAGGCAGC